AGCCCGAAGCACAGAGTGAGGACGGAGTTACTGACATAAGTGAGGAAAGTTGTGACAAAAAGGATGGAGACACTTCAGAAGAACTGAAGCCATTAACAATCTTCATATGAAATGGACTCTCAGGGATATTTCTCAACATTGATAGTGCAAAGATCGAATGCTGGAAGCTGACCCAGACTTAAAAAGGGGTGTAACGGTTCATCAAAGCATAGGGAAAATGCTCACTCAGTACTGTAAGTTATATGATGAGAAGGCAAGCATTGTTCGAGCCACTCTTAGTAAGTTTTTACAAAGATATAAAACACTTTAATTCTCCATGTTTCTAAAGTCTTAAATTACAGTGTACTAAAGAAATATTAGTTTTACTACATATTTTCATTTCCCTGCATATTTATAACTAACAGTAAGGGAGTTTTAATGTCTGTTAAAAAATTTTAAAGGCCACAGGACAATGATAATTTAGCCCATTGATTATTTACACTGCTTTGTATAGTTTCGGCTCACACAGCCCGTTCTGCAGTCCTGTACAACGCAGGGACTGCCTCGACAGATCACGGACTTGACCATGCTTGTTTTTCTCACTAGTTCATGGTCACTAACAATTTGAGTAATTAGGCAATGCAAAATATGTGATGACAATTAAATATAGAAAATTAATAAAATTATAATGTTCAGCAGTCTAGTCGCATGCTATTTATCCAAATGTCCAATTACAGCATATAAAAACATTTCCTAACCTTTTTATAGGTTAGGAAATCAATAATCATTATTTAGATACTGTGGAATTCTGAAGGTTCAACAGAAAGGTTTTTCCCCAGCTACTAAATGTAAAGATACTTGTCGGTGAGTAAATGAGATTAGGCAACATATAAGAAGAGATCTTCCTCAGAGGTACAAGTTAGAAATCTTTTCACAGTTTCTTGTTACTGTCAGGATGTATGTAAATACATGGCTATCACCCTCTCCAATATCAAACTTAAACTATGGAAGCTAAAAAGAATTAAATATAGAGAAGACGCATGGGTTCCAGGACTAGAAACAACAGAAAGAACCACAATAAAAAACCGTGGTAACCTCCCACTGAAACTGCAGATTGTCTTAAACCCCTGTGTTTGGCAGCTGGGCAGCGGCAGCTGGAGAAGAAGAGAGGCAGAAGTGGCAGCAAAAGGATGCTCTGGAGGAAATCAGTGAATTGTTTCTTTCCTCGCCCCATATTGACTTGGTATAAGCACTGCTCATGCATTCCCTGGAAATGGGCAACGCCAGCCCACAGCACCAGTACTGGTCCTCCGTGTGGGGACAGCTAACGAGAACGTAGCGGGAGCTGACCAAGGAGGTGCCGGTGGGCACTCCCTTCCCTGAGCCCTTCCATTCCAACTCCCATGGCTGGTGGGACATACTGAAGGACACCGCCTTGTCCGCCTGCTGCATCTTTCTGAGTGTGGAAAGGTGAAATCTGACACAGGAGACTTGCTTGGTGCGGTGGCAGCGACCGGAATCATCAGTCGTGGGTTTGGGGTATTTGGGCCTCTCCTTTGAGGCTCATCCTGTCCCTCCCCTTTAAAGTCATCAGAATGGGTATAGTCGAGGGCACGGGCCTCAGTTCCTTCCCCGCATGTTTTCTGGCTGAGTACCTGATACCTCCGAGGAGCACCACAAGCCCAAATAATTCAGAAGACAAAACGACAAAAAGAACAGGGGCTGCTAAGCAGAAATCAATCTGTTCGACTGATTTACTTCATTGTAGTTTTATTACTGTATTGAGCCACAGTCTTGACGGTTGAAATCAAGAATTTAATATATCCTGAAATGTATTTAAGGAAGAGATAATGGAAAATACTTAATCATGAGCAAGACACAATAAAAAATGAAAATATTAGGTATGTGAAATTCCAACATTGACATAAAGAACATAACAGATGGGACAAACAATCGAATGGATTCACTGAAGAACTTTAATAAGTTGAAAGGCCTGATTCAGTAATTCTCCAAAAAAGCATTAAAAAAGGAAAATATATAAAAATATAGCTATGCAAGATAGAAGTAGAAGTGCCAACACATGCATGATAGGATTCCCAGAAAGAAAAAATATATGAAGAGAAGAAAATATTTTTTTAAAAAAACGTAATTTTTCCAGAATTAACAAAAGATAAAGACTTCAGCCTTGAATCTGTTGAACAGTACAGATGAGGAAACACATTTAGATATAAGGTGGTTGAGAGTCAAGAATATCAAATACAAAGAAAAGATTCTAAAAGCTTACAGAGGGAAATAATAGGTTATCTATAAAAATACAAGACTGATAGCAGATTTACCAACAGCAATGCTGGATGCGCAATATAGTAATATTTTTATATATTGAAGGAAAATAATTTTATCCTAGAATTTAATATCAAGCTAAAATGCCACTCAAATGTGAGGTGTAATAAAAATATTCAGTAACATATCAGGCTTCAGAAGATTTTCTATACAAAGACCAACTTGAAAACACTCTAGAGAAAGTATTCAAATAACATGAAGAGGAAAATTTGGAAGATATTTCATGAGTCGTGGATTATCAAAGAAATGAATGACTTGCAGAGTTTATTGTTCACTGAAAAGAAGCAAAACAACAATGACAAGTAAGGACCAAAATAAGAAAAGAAAGTATATCTATTAACAACCTGTAAATCAAATTCTAGACAATATCCATATGATATGACATTGGAGGGAACAATGTACCAGGGTACCTTTTTAAACTTGATGAGCTGAAGAATTCAATAAACGTGACTAAAACTGAACATAAATTTGAGTAAAGAATAACCACCATTAAAGACAAAAGTATTAACTTTTAAAACTACAGGAGAAAACTTTAACTATCCAATGAAAAGCATAAAAAAGAAAGAGAGAAAGAAAAGAATAAGTGAAATTAAAAGAGTGTCAAGGGAAATACAAAATAAGATGGAAAAAAGAAGCTCAAACATAAAGTAATTACAATAAATGTATATGGGTTAAATTCACCAATTAAGACACAGTAATTATCAGACTAGATTAAAAAAAAATAAAACCCAACAATATATTGTCTAAAAAAGATATACTTAAAAGACAAAGAGAGGTTGCAAGTAAAGTAAGGAAAAAGGCTGACCAGGCAAATATGGATCAAAACATACCTAAGGTAGCAATCCTAATACATAACACAATAGAATGAGATGAAGAGGAATGTTATATACTGGTAAAAAGGAACAATAAAAAAGAAGATGTATTATCATAAACTTACGTGGATCTGGCAACAACCTCAAAATAGAAGAAGGAAAGCTGAAAGAATGCCAGGTAGTGAAATCAACAATCATAGTTAAAGATTTTAGTACCTCCTTCTCACGAACTAATAGAGCAAGTGAACAAAAATTAAGCAGAGATAACAAGATATGAACAATCTCATTAATAAGCTCAAACTATTAGACATCTATAAAACTCTACACTAAATGGAGACTACACATGGACTATCTACAAAAGCAAACCATGCATTAGCCACATAAGGAACCCTAAATTTAGGCCTAAATCCTAAATGATAACATAATTTGTTTTCTTAAAATACAATAAAATTATGTTAGGAATAAAATAATAGATTTAAAATTTTAAAAATTTAGAAGCTAAATAACATATTTCTAAATCACCCTTGCAACAAAATGGAAATCATATAGGAAATTAAGAATACAAAGAGAGGGGTCTATTGATCAGCTTTTTATGTAATCTAAGCCTTCTGAAGATGTGGAATAAATTTCAAGGCTGACTCAAAATAAATACCTATTTCATTGGATTTCTCGGACCCTAAATATTTTATGGAAATGGATGAAAATGCCAAAGGCCATAGCAGACAGTCTCCTCTTACTGGGGTGGCACCTGCGGCTTGCATCTCCCCACAAATCTACTATGAAAAAGATCAGACCAATCTTGTAGACAGATACATTGTAACAGGTTCTCACAGGAATGTCTAGGACCTTTCCCTTTCTTTGGGGTTTTTCATAGAAATTCCTAGTTCTTGATGGTTTTAATACAATATGGCAGAGAAGCTATAATCCTGCAGTTTTATATTCAATTAATAACAAGTCACAACCAGTTTTATAAAAATCAACAAGAATGCGCGACACACTTGAGGATTCGCTCAGGTGTCATGAGGGCATTTTTATTCTTTGTATAGAAATGAAGAAGAGGAAAAAGGTACAAAAGGAGCATGTAGAAAGAAAGCCACAAGAGGAGAGTAAGAAAAGGGTGGAAGTGACGGATGGAGGGCTAAAGAAATACTGAATACCTTGGAGATGAAAGGAGCCATGGGACAGGAAATACTAAAACAATAGCACAAAGTGCTTGCTAGGTAAGGAATAGTATGGAACTCTGAAACGTTATTTTTTGAACAAATGCTAAAAGAAATCTTAAAGAGCATAAAACCTTGATGAGATCTGTTTTCCTGCTATCCTCCCTGCCTCCCTTCTTCCTCTCTCTCTATCAGGGATATCCATGGCCTCTTATAGAGCGAAATTTACTCTTCCTACACTCACATAGTTATCGACGGGGGAGATGAGGCTTCTGATCTTATGTAGAAGCCGGTGACACTTTTGCTCCCCGCGTTGTACTGCAGCTCACGTTCAGAGCTGAATTCATTCTGCCATTACTCGCCTTAACTTTTCTCCCTCTACCTTTCTCTGACTCCCTCTTCATAGTGGAGTCACAGGTTGTCTCCCCTTTGTGATAGTTTATGACTTGTTTCCCGTTTCCCCAAACCATTAAAATTGTGTTATTTTCTTAGTGGCTCTCCAAAGTGCTTTAGATGGAGCACTCACATATACTTGGCAAGGACGAAAGCCCCACTAATCGTCCTTGGAACAAGTTAGGGTACAGTCTGGTGCAGCTTTATATCGTCGGTTGCCAGCAGGACTGTGGTTTGAAAAGGAAGTCTCTAACACCGAAAGATTCCAAGGCTAGGGCTTACATTAAATGAAAGACCAAGGCATGGCATTTCTCACCAGGGCGCAGTCCAGGAAGAATGGAAGTCTGCGGGCGCTCTGGAAACGCGCGGGGACGTCAGGTACGGGAAGCCAGGCAGCTTTGGGTCAGCAACTCCTCCACGCACAGCTCCAGTTCTCTCATTGAAACCTGGGGGAAGACAAAGGGATATTGTTTGTCAACTTAAATGTTTCCACTTAAAACTAGGATCCTAATACTCCAATTGCTCAACCAATTTGTTCAAGGGACTACGAGCACTGTCTCTCATTTAATGCTTTTAATAGGGCAAGACAACCTAAAAAATTCCTTTTTGAAATTTAAACAGCTCAAATTTCCATGAACGCAAGGCAAACAGGCAAAAGAGTTTAGGGTTCTTAGCTTGTATTACCAGCCACTCATCTTCGTCTAGGAACGGTAGTGAAGACGGGGCTAAATCAATGGGACCAGGGAACAGGTTGCTTTTGTGTGGCGTGAAGGGGATGGGTTTTCAGATAAAGTGCTCAGGGTGGAAATTGGTGGAAGGAACACCTGGCCTGACTCCCAGCCACACATTAGTTAGAAACTGGAGAAAGAACCACTTTTAGACCACTAATGAGCCCCAGGTGAAAACGCTGTTAACTAGAAGTCTCTTTTTTTTTTTTTCAAAATTTCCAGTGTTTTGATTGATGAGCAAATTGTTTGGAATTCCTAATTTTCCATTACATTCAAACATAACCTTTGTTTTTCCTCCCAACGAAAACATCTTTGTCTCTGGCTACCAGGATTGCCTATCATTAGTCACAGAAAGGCCAGTTTCTCTTTGGCCATCACCTGGGGAGGCAGACCTACTTATGGGAGTTTGAGTCTGCCCAGCGTTTATGATCCAAAAAAGTAAAACAGGGAACACTTTGGGGTTTAAGGTGACTAATTAATTTAGGCACAGGCTGCTGCATTTTCTTACATTTGTAACATTACTACATTTGACAAGATTTCGAATCTTCCAATATTTAAAAAAAAATTGCCTGCTTAAATTTGTAATTAAAATGTGTGAATATTTAGTTACTGTGAAGTCTCAGGTGCTAAGAGCCACTGGCTCTAAGGAAAAGGAACCAGAGAGTCATTTATTCTTCTACAGCATCATTCATCCAGCGTATATTTATCACGCACACCATGTTATGATCTACTAAGAAGAAATGAAAGCATACATAAGGAATTCAGTCACACTACACATTTTGATTAAGACCAAAGTTTTGTAGATGGCTGACAACATTTTGAGATTCTTTGTTTTATAGCCTGACCGTTATTTATTTAAAACTTTATTTATTCAATACCGGTCATGTATACTGGGCCTCACGGCAATGAATAAAACAAAAATGGTTAGTGCATTCATGGAATTAATAGCCTAGTGATATTGATAAATACTGAACAAAGAAATACAGAAATGTCTATAAGTATGACTGAATAAGCCATAAAGGACGTGTCTAGGGTACCATGAGAGTGCATATAATGAAAGGACCTAATACTGACCAGAAAATCAGGAAGGACTTCCTGCAGGAAGTGACATTAAGTTAAAACCTGAAAGATAAGACAGAAATTAGGCAGGTGAAGAGAGAGGAAAAAAGAATCTCACACACAGCAGACAAGGCCCTGAAGGGAAGCAAACTCCTGGATTAGAGAAAAGTCAAGTATCTGTAAGAGTCTGCATCTCCCTACTCTTGCAACTAAATGTGCTAAATGTGTTATCAACTTTTCTGACATATCCAAGTCATCATTTTAATCATCAATGATTACACTGTCCTAAGAAATGGTATCTTTAGGAGTTACTGGGATGTAGAGTTGCTGCCCCTGAAATAAATGGTTCCATGTAATTGTGCTTGAGGTCGTATATATGACGTATCTATTTTTCCTGTATCCTTTTTTTGGGGGGCTATCAACCATCACTTTTGACTTTTGTTAGTGCTTCTGGTAATGCTGTTCCTACTGTCAATTTTTATCTTATAATCTGCTGTGGTATGGAAATCTAGATAATATAAAAAATTCTGTGATTATATCTCAAAGAGAAATAAATGTTAAAACAAATAATCGGCCTCTCAGTAAGGGTGTGGAGCCATACATAAAGTACAGAATCCTTAAATCGGGACCTATACGACATCCATCCTGACGTCTTAGAGACCTTTCTACATCCAGATCTGGGTGGGTTCTTAAGAAGTCATACCAGTCCTGGCAAGTCAAAACTTTTCATAAAAGGAATAGCGGAGGATATGCCTGTGTTTGTAAACTGCGTCCTGGAGCCACGTAACCTCACGGAGCCTGCACTTCATGCTCCCCCATTCTTTCCATGCATTTGGCTACTGCCCGATGTCTCTTACCATCGCAGCGGGAGTAAGAACATTAAAGACACCGGGGCCAGGAAGGTAAAAGGATCCTGGAGAGCAGACGCCCCTCTGAAGGGTAATCATCACTCTGCCAACTGTTGCCATGTTAGAAGGTGGCTCCATATACCCCCCAGTACGCTTTATTTTTCTAAGGAGGCTGGGAATCTGATTTTTTACATGACGTTCTCCCACTTACAAAGGCTGCCAGTTAATACAAATTAGTTTCTTTGCCAGAGATTTTGAAACCTCTGCTGTCCCTCCTCATTTCTTCCTCCCAGCCTGATGCAGCAGCCTGATTCCCAGACCCAGGCTCCCCACCAGGTGGTGGGGTGCTGGTAAACACTTAACAACCAGCTCTCCGTGGTGTGCATCCCTGGCCAGTTTCAAGCTACCCCAGTGACGTCAGTGACCTGGAGTTGGGAAGAGACACAGAGCAGTTGCAGAATATACAGAAACAATACATGTTAATAACTTCAAGAGCACAGAGAAGAGTAAAATAATTGAGCAGTGAGGAGTTTTGAGCGTTCGTTACCTTTGCTTTTAATATTGTGTATTTAACTGGAAGTTTATATAATTTCATTTTTAATAATGGCTGTGTTCAACCATTGGCTTGCAAAGCTCCTGAAAATATAAGCTCTTGCGAGCGGCTACCAGCAACCCTCTTCACACCAGTGCCACCAAAACATAATCTGGTTTACCCCCACTGACCATCACCGGCCTTGAACTTCTTCCAATAAGCTAGCTATGGGCAGGCAGCCCCTCCCTTCATCCCTTTAGCTCTCTATTTGACTTGCCTTTGGGTTCTCACTTGGGCATCATTTCATTGAAAGTGAAAATGACTGATCTCTAGAAAAGAAATTTAGTAAAAGTTAAAATGCAATATTTCAAGTTCCTGAAACCATTTTTATGCATCTGCTGGGGTGGGTGTTCACAGTGCTTTGCGGAAGGCATGCAAAATCACAGACTAGCCGTAGCACCTCTTCCTGAGGCGTTGGCGTTACTAGTAGTTTTGAAAAAAAGAAATTTTTTTGTCACATATATGTGAAAGCAAAATTGGGAGGACCTTGCCTTTTCACCTCTGTCAATCTTGGGAGGTTTAGAGGATGGAGGAGTGAGTGAGGCAAGCCAGGGGACTTTTCATTCTATGGAAGTTGGTGACTTAAAACTGTGGTAATTTTGAGCAATAATGCTACTGAAGCCAAGGCGGGTATCATCAGATCTTTGATGCAGATCAAAAAAATACACAGGAATATAATAATGCACCAAGTTCATAATATAATGAAGTTCAAATGAGTTGGTATTTGTACGATTGTTAGAACAGTGCCTGGCCGTGGATTCAGCACGTCTCCACTTTTGGTAGTTTCATATACCTCACGTCTTCCATATTCTCCCCCTTGTTAATTCTGTGAGAAAACAAAAACACAAGCCCTCTCAACCTGCCCCCCCCGCCAGGTCAGTGTGGTAAATGGTGCCCAGATGGGAAGGAGGAGGGGAAACAGACACTGGGCAGTCCAAGTCTTCTTGAGGAGGCAGAGGACCAAAAACTGGCGACACTCATAGGTCTTCCTAGGTAAACGGTACTGGGTTGCTCATGATATTGGTGCTCGGGCTGTGGCACCGCGCAAACTGCCCAAGATGGCAGGAGGACCCAGGACCCCATGCTGAAGCACCGAGCACACTGTACACGTTCACACGTGGTACCGCGGAGCCCCCGTGTCGTGCGGGAGGTGTGACACCGTGCACACAGCACATGTTCACGGGGACCCGGGGAGCACACACTGTGGGTGCGGTAGCCGTGACACAAGTGCTTATTTATTGGCTGAGTTGGATGGAATGTGAATACCACAGTCAGAGGAGAGAAACTTGGCAGGTTTCCTAAGAAATTAATTTACTTCTTTATAAATCAGTAGTTTAGTATTATTTCTTTTTTGATTTTACACAAAAATTGGCTGTGTACACATCAAATCCACTTACCTCTACAATTGTACCTAACAGATCACTCATACATAGCTGGGTTTGGGGTTTCGGGGCTGTTCTTATTTGCTGTCTGGACACATAATTCTAAAATTACATTTTTATTTGCTAGCATAGATTGATGTTTAAAAAGAATGAAGTGTTCACTTCAGAAAACAGGAAAAACAAGATGAGGGGAATTTAAAATCATCTTTCTTACTTTTATGATGTTGATTTTAAGATTCAATGTAACTATCTTGACAGTAAGAAAACTCGTAACATTATCACAAACACAATTAGTGAATCTTAACTAGGCATCAGCTATCTTACAGCCATTGAGTATACATGGAATTGTAAAATACAGATTTTACTTTGTAGATGTGCAATAAACCTAAGCCTTGGTACTTCTCTTTGGAAAAAAAAAAACCTCCTGAGCAATAATTCTATAAAGCTATAATGCATGCCCTGCGGTTTAAAAAACTGGCACAACAATTTGAAAGGATAGTTGGAAGCATTATAATAAATACAGCAGGAGAATTTTTATCTAGGAGCATGAAAAGCACAATTAAAATGAAAGCCAATTAGCAAAATGAAATGAGGATACCATGATGGTGTAATTGAGACCACACTTCTCTTCTCACTGTAAGCAACAAGTTTTAAAATGAACAAAATATATGAAACAAATTATTTTAAAAATTGATAGATGGCATAGGACTGTCCCTTCCAAAAGGAAGTAAATAAATGAAGTAAGCTCTATGGTCACTCGAGCATTCAGCCTGAGGCGCTTTTTGATCACTGTGCAGGGAGGGGGACCCCAAGTGGAACTGATGGGTCTCACTGAGG